AAGGGAGGAAAGATGCTGAAGCTGAACATATTCTTCTACCTTCTTTGTCCAGTGCGTTTTCAAAAAAAAAAGAAAATATTGGCACTTTTGGTATTTTCTAGAAATTGTGAGGGCCAAAAGGACTAAATATTGTTACGACAGGCAGGGGATCAATTTAAAAATAAACCGAATTTATCGAGATGTTCCCCAAAATAGCTCCAAAATGTTAGAAGGTTTAGGTTGCGTAGCACTTCTCTCGCCCTTTTCATACTCAATATATTCCAGATTCACATTGGTGGAAGACCACCAGACGAGTTTAGCGAAGGAATCGAAACGTCTTTCACTGGCTGTATGGCTCGTTTACAGCTGAATTCGGTGGATTTGCTCAGTTTTGCTCCTAGGGATGGTGGCCTAAAGTGCCAGGTAAAATCTACTAATTTTTTTCCTGAAATTATATGGTTAGAGGATAAAAATCTGAAGAATCATGGAATCCTATTAACACAGTTAGAAACAAGTGGAAGGAGAGTCTTACAGGTCTACAAATTGAGAGGAACTAAATAGGTTTGCAGGAGCATTTCTCTTCATCCCAAGCTTGACTATCCTTTAATTTTGGCATTAGAAATGTGTTACTTGCGACTTTCTTCAATTTATGACCAAGACTGATACATAGTTCATTCTGACGTTTTGACAGTTTCTTTTCGGAGTTTGGAGCGTCTTATACTTTTTCTCTACTATTTTTTTTCAGATGCCCAAACCACCGTCGCTAACACTTTACGAGGAATCACGTGCCATCATCCCCTTCTCCTTCCTGCCATTCTCATTCGAGTTTCGTATTCTACCAGTACCATCCATACTGCTTGATATGGTCGACGTCGATAACAAAACTTTGCTGCAAACGACTGTAGATGAGGCTAAAACGTTGCATCTCGTTAGCAATGTGACCAAATTCAAGCAAATCGCTCATCCACGTAAGTGCCGCAAATAAAATTGCAATATTTTTGGACAAACTGGAGGGCCAAAGTTCTTGAAGCCATAAGTTTCAAAACTAATTTCAACAATGTTGCCATTTCTGAGCAATAAGGATTGATGGTGAAATCGGAGGTAGCTCCTGTGCACCAAATCTGTTGCCCCATAAATTTAGCTTGAAACCGGAACCAAATATGCCTAATTTTTCTATAAATTTAAATTTTACCCACAACTGAAGGCTTTGTCTTCCATAGAACTTTTACTGGAATTTCATGATTTGTAGTGCGTTAATGCGTAACTTTCATCAAAATATCACGATTTCATAAGAATTCATATTTTCGTTTCGCCTTACCCCGGTTTGCCTATATATCTCGCTTTTTATTTTTCAAATATACTGTTAACCACATTTTTTACTAATCTTTTACCATAACTTACATTGCATTCCAGAAATCAATGTTGCCGACGGTGGTTGGCACAGTTTCTCGTTACGAATCCGTGGACCTCGGCTTGAGGTGGAGATTGATGGTTATACGGTATGTTATTGTTGCATTTCACCCTATCTAAAGCGGCATTCTGAGTTTTACTAATTTGTTTTGAGACCTTCTAAGGTAAGGTTGAATTTCACTTCTCGAGATTACATAATTTAGCTATGAGGTAAAAATTGATATTTTTCTGCTATCTGAAATAATTTTCCAAAAAGGTTGTTGCTATTCCAGGTCATATATCCTATAAGCCTTGCTAAATAAGAGTGTCTATATCTTGATACAATCAGGTAGTTTTCCGTGATCTAATCACATTCCTTGAAGCTTTCCATAAGGAAGTGCGAGAATTGGGTCCAGATACAAACGGAAAAGTACCAGAGATTAATTCTTGTTGTATTGTCACAAACTTAACTTTGCTTCAACACGTGATTTTGAACCTAAAGTATCAACCAAAAAAAATTCATCTCTCGGAAGGGTTAAACTTAACTTAGCGGTCTCACTTTTGCTTGATAATCGCTAGTAATTGGAGAAACCCTACGTCCCATATTCAGTTGAGCCGGCCGAAAGAGGACATAAGGCTGTAGATAGTACTGGTCAAAAGTATTACCCTTGAGTTACTTGTTAAAGCTTTTTGCTACGTGTGATATCTCCGATATAATATTGGTCA